ATAATTAATAATAATAATAATAAAATAATAATAATAATATAATAATAATAATAAAATAATAATAATAATAATAATAATAATAATAAATAATAATCATCATCATCATCATCTAATAATAGTAATTTTTTATTTCAATTTGTAGTTTTCCTCAAAGGAGTTAGTTTAATAATAATCAATTTTGTTTATAGTGAAAAATCATTAAATTTGAAAGCACGGGACACAACTATCAAATTGTGGCGATTAATTAGGAAATATCTTTGTTTCATTTCTTCCTCTATCTCTTTATTTTTAACATTTACTTTGAGTCATTTCATCTCTACCGAATTTCAAACAAAGAAAAGTTTTTAAAGGCAAACTTCAAAGTCATCTTTTTTATGCTTTCTCACCTCAATCTGTGCACCAAAACAATTGTGTTTGAACAATTTAGGAGATTGTAAAGCATTAACATCAAGAGTGAGTTTGCAGTTTAGACGTAGAAACTGAGAAGAAAGTGAGAGTGAAAACTTTAATTAAAGAGAGAACAGTCAAATAATTGGCCATAAACATGATTATATAAATATCATTACAATTAAAACAAGAACAAAAATACAGAAACACTTTGTAACTGATATAAAATTAGAACACTCAAAACCAAATATAATAGTATCTACATCATTAATATAAAGCATCTTGCAGAAGAAGAAAAAAAACTAAAATTGTCATGTAACAATAATAGTAATAACTTTGAAAAAAATTTTAGCAGAGATTATTATTATTAAACAGGTACTGTCCTAGCAGTTCCTGGCCCTGCCATCTCTATAGCCTCAGCACCATCTTCTTCATTCTCACCACTCATTTCTTCCAGTGATTTTCCATTTGGTTCCGGAACTAAGAAGGTGAATACCATTCCAAAGAAGTTAACAACACCAAGCATAATGAGGGAGTTCTTAATCCCGATTCCGGTTGGGTAACCGGTATCGGTCTCGGACGCTTTCTTACTTTGTGCGGCGTATAAGAATCCGAATGCGCCAACAATTGCTCCAGCTTTTCCTGCAGCGGCCGAGATACCGTGACAGGTTGATCTTAGTCTTGCAGGGAAAATCTCGGCTGGGACAACGAATGTGGTCGCGTTTGGACCGAAATTGGCGAAGAAGAAAGTTAATGAGTACATCACGACAAACCCGATTCTGTTTTCTTTTTGTTTCCAGTGATCATAAGGTATAGCTAAAGCAAACATGAAAACTGTCATGAAGAAGAAGCCCATCAGCTGGATCGCGAATCGGCCCATGTAATCGATAAACGCGACTGTGAACCAGTAACCTGGAACTGTACTGCACATTGCTATCAGTGTTTGTGCTCTTGCTATCCTATAAAGTTCATGAATTGCATTCATTTCTTTCGCAGGAGGGATCCATCCAATAGCAGTGAAAATGTCTTTTTGGAAAAGATTCTGACTATAGAAAGCAATGTCCAACAAAAACCAAGTAGTCGTTGTTCCCAACAAGTGCATTCCGTGGCGCTTGGCGAATTGCTTGCTAAATAGGCCAAACTTTTGGCTTTGGTTCGCATCTATCTGCTGCACTTTCTCCTCTTCAGCTTGAAGTTCAACTTGTAAGACCTTCGACATATCAGAAGCGGCTTGTTTCGCGTTCTTAGCAACAAGTGCTGTGTAACGAGCCGTCTCGGGCATCTTCATACGCCAGTAATAGGTAAGAGCTGCTGGAACAGCACCAAACATTAAAATCAAACGCCAAACATAATCAAAAGCCGGCACAAGCGACGCTTCCCGGTTTTCTTCATAGGTAGGAACTTTATATTTGTGTATCAAATGCTGTAGATACAATCAAGCCAAATATTCCACCAGCCATGATTCCGAATCCCTGCATAGCAAACACCGCAGCGATAAAAGCGCCTCGAGTCTTTTTGTTAGCATACTCAGACATAATTGTAGCTGAAAGAGGGTAATCACCACCAATTCCAAAACCAAGCCAAAACCTGAAGAAACAAAGTGATGCCATAACACTCTTTGGACTACTTCCAAAGGAAAGTCCTGAGGCAAAGTGAACAACCCACCATAAGCATAAGGGTCATTCCATAAACTTTCTTTCTTCCCAATTTGTCACCAAGCCAACCGAAGAATAGTTGGCCTGCTAAAGTGCCAACTAGCGCGACACCGGTTACTCCGGCTTGAACACCGGGAGGAAGAACACCGGGCTTCGCTTTGGTGTAATCTGTGTAATAGATCCTTCCTAACAACTTTGTGACAAGTGAAATGCAGAAGAGATCATAAGCATCAGTGAAAAAAACCCATTCCAGCAATCACAATTGCTGTGAAATGGTACATTTGTGTCTTGGCCACATCGAGTGCATTAAGCACTCCTAGTTGTCCTGCCATCACCAACTTTGTTACCTGATTACAAGTTTACTGCACAACAAAAATATATCAGTTTCCACATAAGCAAGCAATTTCACATAAACAACTTATTAAGCACTTATGAATAAACTTTTTTTAAGTAAAAAGCTAAAATTTCATAAGCTATACTCATGGGAGAGCTTATAGAAATAAGTTGAGAACAACGTAAATTTTTCCATAAGTTCTTACAACTATTTATTCCAATATATAAATTTTAAAAAAAAATATCAATCCATGATTTTAAATTGCAGATCGCGAATGTGGTTGCAGTTATTGCAATTGTGGTCATTGCAGTTGATGTGATGTACATTACTGCCATTGCGGCTTAAATTTTTTAAAGGCCTTTACACAATAATTTTTAAGATTTGAAAAACAAAAATGAATTCAGCTGATGTTGATTTTCCCATGCTAAGAAAAGAGTAAATGAAGGTGATGTTGATTTTGTCATGGTCAACTAAAGCAGAAAGTTGAATTTTCTAAACTATTTGCTCATTTTCTCAACGTTTAAAGGAATTTGACTCTACTATACTAATACCAATTTCACAAGAGAAATTAAAGCTATTTCAGTCTATAATTTCTCAAAGAATTTCATTCCATAAATAGAAAACGAAGCAGAGGTTAATTTGGTCATTTTGAAAGGGTGTGTTGTTTCATGGAAAATTACCATAAACTAAACCAAGAACTGAAAAAATAAAGATAAAGGATCTATCTTTTGTTTGTTTGCCATGAAATTGGGATCATGAAATCATTATTTAGAAGAAAAAGAGAGATCCCAGATTCTGAACAGTGTTATGATTTGTATATTATTATTATCTCATAAACAAAAAATCAGAAAGTTGTGTTTTGTGTTATCTATATTGTAATTGCTCAAAAACTAAAAAGTGGGGCTTCCACTATGGAAACTCTTTTTCATGATTACAACAACAACAGTTTCCACTAAGGAAACAAAAAAGTTTTTAAGAGAGAAAGTTCACCTGGTAGTTAGTTACAAATTGGTGGATTGAGGAGAGAGAAGCATTTGTTGTGATGTTGGGAAGAGATACTATAGAAAGAGAGGTTGAGAAGGTATATATATAGAAAGATTGTATTATGATAGCCATTCAAAGAATGACACTAGAGTCCAGAATCAACGAAGGAATATGTGGTATATGCTCATTCACAAGACTTTAATATAATTCAGATGTTCAAGTCAACGGTTTCACAAATTATTTGCCTTCCTGTAAGTTTTAGTTTTGTTTTTTTGCTTTGATTTTTCTAGATTATTAGTAGAAGTTGTAACAAGTAAATTTCACTAGATGGATTGTCTTATTTGTAATTTAATTATGTAGGAAAATTCATGGTTGGTAACAGTTGTTGGCGACATTATCAAACTCACTGTGAGTTTAGGGATAACTGCTCGTTAAATGTGCCGTAGGTTAGATGCATACATCCTTAAATTATACATTGGTTCAATATTTTAAAAATGGAACCGGTACGAGAGGTTATCGAGTCACTGTTTATTGGTCGAATTAATGTATGTACTAATGATTGAATTGTATGATTAAACTAAATTAAATCGAATGATTTGATTGAATAAATTAATTTCTTTACTAAAATTATATATGTATTAATTCGGTTGAACTGAATAATTAAGTGTCTAAAAAATATCACTAACATCTATAAAATTTTAAAATATCATAATTACACATTAATTCTTTAAATTCAAATTTTAAATATAATAATTAATCACAACAAAATAATAGTACTGTTCTGGACTGGGTCCGACAGGCCCAAAAGCATTGCAAAGGCCCAGTCCAAATGGACTTACAAGGGCCACGCCGACGAAAGAGTGACCGTGCCCGACGCGCAGTCGCTGGCTCGACGATACGCCTCCAGCTCGACATGAGGTGGTCCATAGCCACATTCTGAGGACCAGCTCGACGTTACCTCGAGCACCCCAGCTAGGGCAGACTCAGTCCACTGTTCCCCCAACGGTACTCCGAAAAGACCGCGTCTCCGTCCGCCCGCACTTCACGCAGAACATCCAGGAAGGGGACCACGTGCGGGTCCCCACTACGCACGTAGAACCTGGCAGTTCCTCCATTGGGCCAAACCTGCCCGGCCCAATGAAGGAACCTTGGCCCAGCGCTGGGGGCTATAAATACCCTCTGCTCCCAGAGGGTCAGGTATTCATCATTCTAACCTTACACTTGCTATTATCTGCTCGTACTCCTACTTACTTCAGCATCGGAGTGCCTTGCAGGTACCCCCCCCCCCCCACCTCGTTCAAAAAAAGCTTTCTGCTCAGAGCCAGCCGTGACGGTCCATTTTTGATCAGGTCAGATCAGTGGCGCCGTCTGTGGGAAACTAGCTTCCCCGTCTAACGAACAACTCTAAAAGACCAAAGCTTAATTCAACTACCTGTCATGGCTGATCCAGCTCGCGACGAGCAGCCCGTCCGTGTCGCCGATACTAATAACGGTACCGCGGACAAGAATGGACACCTCGATAACCCCGGTGATCCCGGCCACAGTGCCATCCCTGTGACGACCGCCCCTGGACCTTCCTCCTACAGGGACGGGGCTACTGCATCATCCTCTTCGACCCCTCCAGCACTCGAAGACGACCCGGTAGCTCTCGCTCATCACAGAGCTGCCCGGTTCTATGAAGTCCCAGTTCCCGCCGGGGCAGATGCCACGACTCAGGCACTGTTCGCGGCCATTAATCAGACAAATTATCTCATCTTCGCCCAAGGAGAAAGATTAAGGGCACTTGAAGATGATCGACGACCCCCGAGGAGGCATCGGAGGCCACATTCCCCACCTCCTCGGGTCACGGAAGTTCAGCACCCTTCTCCCCCACGAAGACACTACAGGGAGAACTCCAGGAGCCCTTCTCCCCGGCCAAAGCAGAGGCGGCCCTACCATGAGAGACAGCCCGCCATACCTGCCGGAGAACCCAGTCGCGACCCATCAAGGCACGACAAGAGGCACGCCGGGGACGGGCGTGTGACCTTTAACCACCGAGCATCACGCTCGAGGGAAACTCAGCACGATCATCGTGCCAGACATAACTACAGGACCCCTTCTCTTTCTCCGGAGAGGAGCGACGAGGACGACCCCCGCGGTCCCCTGTCGCAGGCCATCATGGATGCACCCATCCCCCCGGGCATGGAGAAGCCCCCGCATCTGAAGGAGTATGACGGAGTAGCGGACCCGGTCGACCACATTGACGGGTTCGAAGCCATGCTCCACTATCATAATGTCGGGGGGGCCATCAAGTGCCGTCTTTTCCCCACGACTCTCAGGAAGGCGGCCATGGACTGGTATAAAGGGCTCGCCCCGGGCTCAATTACGTCATGGCGGAATCTGAAGAACCAGTTCATCAGTTCCTTCACAGCTTCTCGGCGCCATCCGAAGACCGAGGCGGCCCTCAAGGCCATCATCCAAAGACAGGATGAAACCTTGAGGGAATTCATCAACCGCTTCAACCGGGAAGCAATACAGGTCCCCTGCGCGGACCATATGAAAAGATACTTGCTGGAGAGGGGTCTCCTCCCCGGCACAGAATTCAGAAAGGCTGTGGGTATTGAGCCACCTCCAACTTTTGATGCCCTCCTCGACAAGGCCCGAGCATACATGGACTACGAGGAGAGAGAAGCTGCCAACAGGGCCCGAGACTCCAGGGCTCGCGCTCCCAACAACAGCAGCAGCTCACGACAAGAGCCTCCTCCCCGACGTACCGGGGAGAAAAGGAAGGAAGATCGACCCCGGGAAGTCCGGGAACAAAGGGGCCCCTCGGGCCGTTTCACCGAGTACACTCCGCTCACGGCTTCCCGCGAGCTTATTTTGGCGGAGTGTGCCAGTACAGATTTCAGAGACGGTGGCGTCAAGCGTCCCCGACCTACTCCCGCCAAGCCAGGGGCCGATAAAAATAAATACTGTCAATACCATAGGAGTCATGGTCATTTGACAGAAGACTGCGTCCACCTCAAGGATGCCATTGAAACCCTCATCAAGGGAGGGAGGCTCACACAGTACAGGCGAAACGACGCTCCCCGTCGTGACGCCCACGAAACCAAGGAGCCCGAAGAAGATGCCCGACCATCAGACGAGTCGGTGCCTATCCAGACCGCCTTCTCGGTAACCAGGCTCGAGGATTTCGACGTTCCCGAGCTCCTGCAGGAGCCCCTGACAACACACAGCAGGTGGGAATACTTCCCCTCCGCCATGGTCATCAACGGGGGCGGGTTCAACGACCTCACCATCAATTCAGCTAAGAGGAAGTTGGACGAGCTGGTCGACATAGCTCCTCCGCAAACGGTAACGTTCGAAAGGGTGAAGGGTAGGTCAGAGCCCATCACCTTCTACCTAGAAGAACTCCCCGGCGGAGCCCCGAACGCAGTCATCCCCTTACTGATAAGGGCAAAAATGGCCAATTTTGACGTGCACCGCATCTTGGTCGACGAAGGGAGTTCCGTCGACGTGATGTACAGCCAGCTGTTCCAGACCTTACAACTGGACGACTCACATCTCTCTCTGTATGTGGGCTCGGATCTTCAAGGCTTCAACGGCTCGACTTCCAAACCTTGGGGTTATGTCGAGCTCCTGGTTACGTTCGGAGAAGGAACGGCTACGAGACAGGTTAAGGTCCGCTTCCTCGTCATTGATTGCCCGTCTCTATACAATTGCATCTTGGGGAGACCGACACTGGCGGAGCTGACAGCGGTGCCCTCGACTGTCCATCTGAAAATGAAGTTCTATACCAAAAGGGCATGGGTAGCCACCATCCAAGGAGACCTCGCCGCTGCCCGCAGGTGCTTCAACGCCGCTTCAAAGGGACGGGATACCGTCGACGTGGGGACCAGACCCACCAAGAGGACAAAGCAGGAGCCCGACAGAAAAGCATCCCCCGAGGAAGAAGTCCAGAAGGCTCCACCAAAGGTCGACTCCATAGCCCTCGACACTCGCTTCGATCAGGACGAGCCATCCAGCAGCGAGCAA